TTATAATGTTTCTCATGTCCAGACAAGGTATTTAATATGATTGCCGCTTAATTTGAGCAAGATAAAAATCTTGTGCTTGTTTTTATTGCCTGGATTTACTTTTAAAATAATTGCATATCCTTTTTTAGAACAGTCTTGCTGCATGCCAATAGTATTTGAATTCTTTGTATTGAGTTCCAGCCAAAGTTCATTTTTCCAATCTATATCTACAATAATATATTGTTTTGTAATGCAATATATAAAGCCTATAAGATATACAAGTGAATCATTGGGTCTTAGTGAGTCGACTGGGTAGCTGCTGTTGCACTTATAAAGCTCAGTCCCCGGGGTATTATTTGATTTTAATCTGAAATTGAATTGTACAAACATGACTGAGCCTATTTCACAGTAGTTTCCAAACAAAATATAATTCAAGATTAGACTAGAATAATTGTAGACAAACTTTCGATTCTATTCTGTTGTATTTTCCTCACAGTGAAAGTTGGCGAATTACCAGCCCAGCTGATCCTTCACTTGATCCAGCTTTGCTTTATATAACCAAACATCTGTTGTTTATTAATAGTTATCCAGGTAATAATTAAAGCATTTGAATACTGTTCAGTACAAACATCATTCTTTGTAACTCCCCCAATATATTATGTCACTATATTTGTTTCAAATTGGTGGAAATTACTACAGCATCATACATGTATAAATTAGAAGCCAGGACTGTACTTGTGGGGCAATTTAAAATTTCTCCTCCTTAATTTCTTGAATTGTCATACCCAGCTAAGATGTAGGTAAACATGGGAGCTTCTCAGAGACAGCAACAACAACAACTTGCACTTATATGGCACCCTTCGCGTGGGGTGCGTTTCGAGATATCCAGCAATGGTACTTTGTAACTGGCCACCACTAGCAGGTGCTCTGAAATTGGTCCTGGATGATTTCATCTCAATGGCTCCCTAGCTGTGAGAATCTGGTATTTTGTTCACCTTAGCTATCTCTTCTTTTTGATGCTCCAGGTGGGGTCAGCCTCTTGTGTGTATAAATCATGGACATGTAGCTGAGTGTTTTTAGTAAATGTGAAAGTGTTGGGTCGAATAGCAATTCTTTGCTGGCGGGAGGTGTTATTCCAAATGCTTTCCCAACCAATGGGTCTAAATATGCCTCCTTGTGGACCAACCAAGGACTGCGTCAAAGGAGATGTCAACTAGCTGGACCAGCCCCTTGAATGATGTGGATGTTTAAGATGAACATGAACAAGGGGAGAATGGATTGGGAGAGTGTTAGGATGTCAAAATGCTATTTAATCATGTATCATGACTTATGTATTATGCTGATCCACTGCTGTATAACTATTGGTATGTCGCATGATTGATCACACATACATAGTGCACACTACATGTTGTATGAACAGCTGGGGAACTTGTAGCAGAATCCTGCGTCAAACACAGTGGGATCTAACTTGAGAGATTTCCAAATGGAATCCTAAAGAAGGAATCCCTGTTGGAATTCCCAATGTGTGGCAACTCCGCTCGGAAAGTAGATTGAATTGGCTGACAGAACTTTTGTGCAGCGGCTTAGATTCCTTATTAAGGAATCCCATTGAGAAATATGAGATTACACTTCATTTTACATCTTAATGTAAGCGAGCAAAATATTGCTCTTTGTAAAATGAACAGCAGAGGGCACAAGTGTGCCAAACCTTTTTTACAATTACTGTAATTTGAGTACTCTTTACTTTTTGTAGTATTACATGAAGACTGCATCATTCAGTGTTTAACTGATGGTTTAATTGACGCACCTTGTTGCATGCATGAAAACACTGAATTTGGGTGTTTGGTTCAAGCGCTCCATCCAGGACGCTCCCCAGCGTGAAGGGCTCTACATAAATACAAGTTGTTGCTGTTATAGAATATAAATATAGAATCATTGTGTTTTGCAGTAAGTTCTGTGAAGCGCTTTGAGACGTCCACCTGATGTGAAAGGCACTATATCAAACACAAGTTATTGGTATATTCACAAAGGCATAAACCCAATTTTCTTGCACTTTTGGTAACAAATCTCTGCCAGATCCTAGTAATTCGCTGCCAAAGGCATAAGTTTCTATAACAGTCCCTTGCATAAATAAAAGAACATTCATAACCATCCATAGAATAATACTGCCTTTATTATATGAGGTTTATTTTATGCAATGCAAATCAGGAACATAAATGGAGTTATTCAGTATGTGTAATAATTTAATGTAATGTTCTTTGACAGAACCACAGAGGTGATGGAAAAGGATTGATGGACATCAATTTTCAGAAAGCATTGATAAAGTGCCACATAAAAGATTATTAGCTATAAATAAGACCCACATTTTGTAATGGCTCGGAAATTGGTTGGGAAGGTAGCAGAGGCAGAAGGTTTGTATAAAAGGGATGTTCACTGATTGGTGGACCGTGACAAGTGGTATCCCACCAATGCTGAGGCTTTCATCCTATTTATCAATGACCTGGTTACAGGAATAGAAGGGACTATTTCTAAGTTAATGGATGACGCAATGCTAGGAAATGTAAATGGTGACAAAAACAGGTGGAAAATATAAAGAAAGATCTGACAAGATCTGATAAGCTGGTGAAAAAGGTTTCGAATGACCTCCTCTTGTTCCTGTTTTCCTAGCAAAAAATATCAAACATTTGCACCTAGTTCGGGAATATATTTAACTTTCCTAAAAATGGCCATAGGACATATAGTATAGTAAGGGAAGTGGATCTTCGGATTTCATTCATGGAATCACTGCTGAAGGTAAAACAAGGGAGCACTAATACACCACCTTCTGAGTTACAGCATGTGTAAATAATTAATAATCCTTCATTTGATATAGTGCGATGCACCTTGGGAGGACGTTTCAAAAGTACTTCACACGATTTGCAGTGAAGTGTAGTGATTGCGTACTGTGCCCCCGCCCTGCGTACAGCCACGAAGCGAATCACCCATTTTATCACAAGGGAGTGTTGTCCAGGATTCTGGGAGAGACTCCTTCCTCCTTTTGAATTGTGCCATGGGATCTTTTAACATCTACCTGAACAACTTGGAAGGTCCTGGGTGTCATGTCGCGCTTGAAGGAAGCCACGTCCTCCAATGCTGCACTCCCCCAGCAGTCTATTGGAGTGTCAACCCACACCATCAGCTCAAAGTCGCCACGTGGGGCTTGAACGTACAACCTTCCGACTCACAGGCTATCGGTTGAGCCGGGCTTATCATCACAAAGATGAGGAAAACGGCAGATAGCTTCATATTGTGGAGTCCTGTAGCTCAGTGGTTAGAGCACTCGCTTTGCAAGCGAGAGACCTGAGTTCAATTCCAGGCAGAGGGCGAAACCTTGGGCAAGTTTCCTTACTCCACACAGAGCCTAATAATAATCCCTCCAAAAACCAAAAACAATAATAAATTGGTCATTTTCAATCTACGACTGTTTGTGGGACATTGCTGTGCGCAATTGGCTGCCGCGTTTGCCCACAAATATACAGTCAATTCACTTTACAGTGTGTTCTGTGAAGCGCTTTGGGACGTCCTCCCGACGTGAAAAGCGCTATATCAAATGCAAGGATTATTATTATTATTATTATTATATTTAAGTGTTTCTCAAACTTGAATTTTATTTCTTTGACAAACACCTAACGCAATGATGACATTTAGCAGCATAACATATTCTCGCAAGTGCAATGCTTTGTCCATGACATGCTAGCGATGAAAATAATACTCCTTGCATTTGGTACGGCGCCTTGACACGTCTTCGAGACGCCTCAAAGCGCGTCACAGAGTATACTGCAAAGTGAACTTACTGCATATTTTTCAAAATGCAGCCAAGAGGCTCTTCGGATCTCTTCACTTCCCCCTTTGGACGACAGTCAGTGTTCCCCTTTAAATTGCCCGGAGGGAGGAGGGTAGAAGAAGGGCGAAACGCTGCTTCCTAACGAAAAAAAAGCTGAATTAAATTGTATAAAGAAAAATCCATAAGCCAACGAGTGCTGCGCGCTTCCCGCGGGCCACGCGAACTGCTGAAAATGTGCGCGCGCGCAAAAAAGACCACGATTCGGCAAACCTCTGTAACGGTTGTTACCGGGGCTTGCGCGTGGGCGAGCGCGGCGCTCGCTCTCTCGCTCGCCCGCTCGCGCGCCCCGGTTCGCGATCGTGAATAATAATTCGGTCACTCCGAGCCGCGACTGGGAGGGTCGCGGGACGCTGCGGCGCGCAACTGGCCGCCGCGTGTCGCCCACGAACGTGCCCGTGTCCGTCCGCTCGGCAGACTACCCCGTGAAGAGCCGCCTCGAGACGTTCTCCAAGACGCGGTGAGGCGCTGTCTCAGAAAGCGAGGATTGTTCTCCTCCTTTATCCTTATAATCCCCCCCTCACCCTCACCCCACCCCCCTGGACCTCTGCCGCCCAATGTTACCAGGTTTGGGCGGGTTCTCGCCCAATTGGGCGTGTTTTGCGGTGTACCGTGCGTGGAGGAGGAGGGGAGGAGGGGGGAAAAAAAACGGCTTTGGGCGGGTTTGTAATTTCTACTGAAAAAAGATCTAAATGAAACCTGCGAAACGTTTTATTTTTTTTTAACCAGAGCCCTCCCACCTCCTCCTCCTCCTCTGGAAACCCTTTTCATACCCGACTTCAAAAGCACAAACCTAAAACCCGTTGACCCTCCACCACCACCATCACCACCACCACCATCATCATCACCATCACCACCAGCATCAGCACCAGCAGCCGCCGCCGCCGCCAGCGAGGCGACGCGTCGCGTCGTATTGGGCTACGTTTTGGGCTATTTTTCGGTGGGCTTTAGGCTACTAAACGTAACTCCCCCCACACACACACACACACCCGCCCGCCCGCCCGCCCGGGCTGCCTGGCAATGACATCAGTGAAGAGCCTCCTATCAGGTTGGGTTGCTCGCTCGGAGCCCCTTGCTTCCGGTATGAAGGTTGGTTGACTCGGTGCCGGTGCTGACTGACTGACTGACTGAAGGGGAGGGGTGGGGGGAGAGCAGCAGCGGCGGCGGCGGCAGCAGCAGCAGCAGCTTTGGACCGTTGGCTGTTGCAGCGCGCGCCGAGCGCGCGGGCCGGCCCGGCCGGCGTTCTATTTTAATTTGAACCGCCCGCGGGCTGTCAGCAAAGCAACGTTTTTTTTTCTCTCACTAACCGTCGCTTTACCACCCGACCCGTCCTGAGCGGCGGCGGCGACGACGGCGGGAGGAGGAGGAGGAGGAAGAAGAAGAAGAAGAAGAGACGGTGGATGGTGAGCGGGGCAGAGGAATGGGTGCCCTTAAACTGACGGAGCAGGTAAGAGGCGGAGGGGAGGGGAGGGAGAGGGTGGGATGGGGTTGGGGATAGGACACAAGAAGAAGCCCCCCCCCTCCCTCTGGCGTCTCCTCTGGCTCCGGGGGCTTCCCTCAAATTATCCCCTTAACCGTGTTGTGTCTGAGGGAGGGAGGGAGGGAGGGTCGCCTGAAGCCTTGGGGGGTGGGGGGGGGATGAGAGGATGGGGAAGCGGAGATGGTCGGGAATGAGAGAGAGATAGAAAGAAAGAGAGAGAGTGTTAGGGGAGGGAGGGTGGGTGGTGGGGGGGTCAACATCACCATCAAAAGACGTTACAATAATAATTTTAAAAAACTGAGATTCACCCTTAATGCCCCCCCCCACACTCCCCCCCCCCCCCCACACACACACACACCCTGTACCCTCCCTCTCCCTCTCCCCAGGGTAAAGTGTGAAGATCTGTAGTTCTCAGAGGCAGTATTTATGCTCTCTGTGTGTGTGTGTGTGTGTGTGTGTGTGGGGTGGGGGGAGAAAGTGCACTCCCCCACTTTCTCCTTTTTATTTATATATAAATATATATATATATATATATGTACAATTTGCATCGATTTTGTGACACGACTTGTTTGTGAGGAGAGGAGCCTCCTCCAGGGTTTCTTTGAGAAGCCTTTCTGGACGTGGACCCAGCTGGGATGAGTATATTTACTGTATTTTTTTTCAAGGCTGTAGTTTGAGGTAACATTATCTCGGGCACTCCTGTTGGCACTAAATTAATTACATTCGTGGTGTAATAAAGATGAAAGCTTTATGTGGGCTGAGCTGTTAGACCGACTAAGGGTATGAGGGGCGTATTCAATGATCACTGTAGTATCTTTGTTTCAGGCTCCATTGAATCTTGCTAATTTAAAGCTTAAGTATTGTACAAAAATCTGATTTGATGGATGTCTGCTTGTGGTACTGTAGTAGAGAGAGAGAATAGTGTTACAATAGCTCCTGGACCATTCTGTGCGAGAAAGCAGAATCATTTGAAATTCAAATTGAGTTGGAGGTTTTGTGTACTAAAATGACAGTTGCATTTTAGCTGCATCCTGCACAGAAATCGACTTAATCTTGACTTCCTCTTTTGAAACGTAGAGTACTGTGATGTAGATGCATGTGTGGTTTTATGGTGTTTCAATCTGGGCAGGCGGATGAAATTGCGATAGAGGTCCATGGGAGAAACCACAGTGACATATCTTCTCATAAACCAATTAGCTGCTTTTATCTTGCATTTCCTTTCTGTCAAAGATTAGCAATAGAACAATAGCATGCCGCTGGACTGAGTTGGAAAGGGTTACATTTATGTGTTGCTCGTTCACTGAGGATGTGGTTATTGTTCGGGAAACCTTTTAGACTGCGGGGTTTGTAGAAAATTGTTTTTAATATGTAATACACACATTTATTCCGTCTTAATATTTTGAATTCCATAAATATAATCTCATGTGACATAGAATAGGTCTGTGAATTTTAACTTTTTGTAATTTAAGCAAAGTTTTACATTTAAGATATTGATGTGCACCGTTAAGACATTATTAGCGCTTAAAGTTGTTTGACAGTTCTAGTGTTTTGTAAAAGTTATATATTGCAATATGATTATATATTTCCACTTATGTACAATGTGAAATGATGTTCTGGGAGTTCACTAGGTCAGCTTTAGTACAAGCCAATTTGTTCTCACTGATTAAAGTAATAATTTAAAAATAATATTATTAATAGCAAAGGAATTGTGGACTTCTTAACAGATTTACCAATTTGTAGTTTTATTAATTTCATTGTACCCAGAATATATTATTGATCACAATTTCAGATGCCTCTAATACATTGTGTAAATGTTACACCCACCCCTCCATACACACTCCAATATTGGGGACTGTTTCTCAGTTGAGAAGGTGGGAAGTTGACCAAGTCTTGCCATTGCAAGTCTGTAATTGGCTGGGTAGACAGGTGCAGAGGAGTGGGGGGAAGGGTTTATCCACTTTCTCTGTGCCTGGAATCTGCTGCTCAAATTCAATTTTTTTTGTTCAGTGTCAAATGTTTCCTGGTTAATATCATGCTGTACATGCATTATACACTTTGCTATGAGACAGAGTGAACCACAGTTCATTAACATTGCACTTAATGCATTCCTGTTATTAAATTGTCTTCATAATGCCACTGGTCTTTGGAATAAGTCCTAAACTAAATCTTAAGTGTGAGGTGCATGTACACTGTACTATATTATCTGGCAACAAAAATTAGTTTGTATACTACAATCAATTCAAATCAGTTAATTGGCATTGCTATCCTCTTTGAGGATCTTGTGGTATATTCTGTCTGGGCAAGTTGCCTTATAGAGATTTAATATAGTTAACCAGATACTGTGGCTTTTCTAACTTTGTTAGTTACTCAAAAGGACAAACTTCGAGAGGTGTCATCCTAGCTTTTTCAAATACCTACTTGTGCCCATTTATGGAGCAATGCTGCACAGACTTATCATTTAGGAAGTGACATACACTATAATGTTGGGAGGGGGAAGAAGAAAGGACAAAGTTCTGAAATAAAACACGATTTCTTCCATTGTCCTGCAATACTTGTATACTCGTGGGTACTTTAGGATAAAATACAACTAGTTCACAACACAACTGTATTCAATAACAACAAAATTACATTTGTATAGTGTCTTTCGTGTCGGGAAGACGTCCCAAGTTACGAGTCAAGGTGGGGGAGGGTGGAGAGCAGGGGGGGAAGCAGGGAGATTAAATGCACGGTCGAAGAGGAGGGTCTTGAGGTGGGTCTTGAAGGTGGCGAGGGAGGGGGAGAGAAGGAGGGACTGCGAGATGGAGTTCTAGAGGGTGGGTGCAAAGTGGTGGAAGGCCCGCCCACCAATAGTGGGGCAAGCAAGGCAGAGGACGTGAAGCAGGCAGGAGCCTGCTAAGCAAAGGGAGCAAACAGTGTAGTAGGGGGTTAGGAGGTCGGAGAGGGAGCAAGAACGTAGAGGGCTTTGAAGGTGAGGGCTGGGATCTTGGAACTGTATCCTCTGTGTGATGGGAAGCCAATGGAGTTGGGCAAGAATGGAGGTGATGGGGTCGCGAAGCCTAGTGTGGGATTATCATTAATAATAACTAGATTATTGCATTTTAGTGGACTGCTTAAGTTATGTGGTTGTCACGTTTATTTGTCACATTTAAGTGTGGTTAATCTTAAATATAAATATCATATCTGCAGTATTCCTCTGCTGAAGATTAATTTCTGTTCTGTGGTCTATATGTGTCGTACTATAGTATTGATACCAAAGAAACTGTATATGAGAATCTGAGTTTGTCTTGTGCTGTAACTTGGCTGCAAAAATATACTTATTTGGTTGTAGTTTAGCCAGTTCTTGACCATATCCAACATCATTTAGGTAATGAAGCTATCTTCCCTTTTTAGTAAAGGAAAGTTATCCTTTGTGTGGCTGATAGTTGTGTGACAGCTGTAGGTGTGACGGCTGCAGTGGGGAATTGAGCCAACAAATGCAATGTGTTAAAGCTATGTGTAAATCGTATTCTATTTCCCCTCACTCTGTTTCTTCTTTGTTCTACATCCACCTACTTAGATATCGTTTTAAAAAATCTTTATTCAGCTGAACATGCAAAGGTTTTGACATAATTGCTTAATTGGTATTGGGTACTTATCAACTTGTATCAAGTGTTTACAGTTTAAATTTCTAAATTATTTTTATTTTAGTCCATAATTTAAAAACAACCCTTTCATTCACCAACACTAAATAAATGATCAAATGGCCTCCTACTGTGTCATACATTTCTATGCTTCTATTGACGGGTGGACCTCCAGCTTTTTCCTGATAGTGGTCCCAAATTCTTTGACCATTGAAAACTGTTAAGAAAGGAACCTGCAGGTGATAGAAATTGATGTTTTGAACACTATGTAACTTCCTCTCATAGTTTCCCCAAATATTGTGAACTTAATAATGCCTTATCACATTGTTGAGGCATCTCAAAGCACTTCTCAGGATAAATTATAATGGGGATTGACTGTATTTTGTGGGCAAAACACGGCAGCCAGTTTTGCACACAGCAAAACAGCAGTGTTCCACAAACAATGACCAATTTTTTTTCCTCTTGTTTCATTACTTCTGTAGGATGTTTTTCAATTGTATTATGTAAAAAATGTCTCTTAAGTGTTGTTATGACCTTCAGAATGTTTAAAGAGCTTCAACCATAAATAATCTGACATTTTCTTTTTCCTGTGTTTCCTAATTTAATACTTTGTTGCCTGCCCTAAATAAGGGATTTGCAAAAGTTATCACTCGTCATAAATGATCATTGAATTAAAACATCAATGTTGTAGACTCCTATTTATGTTTATTATATTATTATTGACCCAATGATACAGTTAATGAAATGTTCAGTGACTCACTATCAGTTTCAGCGGACGATTGTTTTACATTGAATAGTAACTCTTAACCCTAAATAGCAATTGTTTTTTGGCTGCTGAATTGCAAGAGTTTTTCATAACTGCTGTCATTCTGATGATGATAATATGGCATTAAAATATGAGTAAATTGGCAACTGCATTTCTCTACAAAATACACAGGATTTGCTGTAAGATTTAGTGACTTTCAAGAGCTTCGAGATGTCCGCCTGATGTGAAAGGTGATGTATCAAATGTGTGGATTATTATGAATGCTGCTGTTTTATGGATTAAAAAGACAGAATTTTTAACTAAAGAGATTTAAAGTTTGAATTTCACTTTATTGAACACTCATCTAATAATTGTTTTCTGTAAAGGTATTATATTTCCTTGCCATTGTCTAATCAAAATTGTCTTGCATTTGTGAAATGTGCATTGATTGCATTGATCAGCATTTTGAGTGGACAGTAGCAGCTTTTACAGTCTTCACATAGATGTACTGTGTTATTAATTGCTCCAAAGGATGTCTACTGCCTCCATTGGTATGCTGAAATGTCAGATGGTTTCATCCTGAAACTGAAAGAATCATAGAT